TGAGGATTCCGCTCAGAGCCACGAACTGCCACCCCGGCAGGGCTCCCCAGGCCCCACCACTCTGCTCCAGCTTCATCTGCTCCAGCTCCTGAATCAGCTGAGTCATCTGCTGCTCCAGATACTCAGCACGCTGCTGCATGCGCTCCAGGGTGGCCTCATCCAGCCCATCCCCGGCCTGCTGCGGGTACTGGGTGAGGCCTTGCACAAGCAAGAGAAGGAATGTAATGGCAAACATGGCCAAAAGCAGTGAGCAGGGCTTCAGTGGGGAAGGGAGGGAGCTACTGCTAGGGCAAGAGGGGACAGGAGCCCCAGGGATCTCAAGGCAGGACAGAGGGGGTCCAGAGGCTGGCAGCCTGCCAGGCCTGTGCCGCTGCCCCAGCACCGGCACAAAGGGTCTGGACAAAGGCCCTGCCACCAGAGACGGGCCTCTGGATGCACACTGAGAAGCCGCTCCCCGAATACTCGCGTTTCTGCCGTGGGCCTCTCTCCGCGTTCAGCACAGCCTCCTGTCTGCGTGGACACTCGCCGCTCGCCGAGGCTGCACTGGGGCAGCGTTACCTGCTGCTCCTCCTGGCAGCTGCCCCCATTGTCACACTGCGGCTGTGATGTCACACATGCCAGTGTGCATCCGGGCCAGGCCTACCCCGCCTTCCATCTCTACCGCACCTCTGGGAATCCTAATGGCCCCTGGCAAGCAAAGACCTGACATGCAAAAACAGCAGACCCGTGGGTCGCAAAGGCCACCCTTGCTCTTCCCTTCACAAAACATGTAGGAGGCCTCCGAGCCTTCCTAATCGCAAAATGGGTGACGTGGCCCTTGAATGCATTGTTCCTGGAAGTTTTCTCCTCAGAGATAGAACTGCTTGCCTTGCTGCTGACATGTGTGCTTTTGGGGTCACTCTTGGAACCTGTGTGACACCCCGGGATGTGTAGTGGTGAATGGCCTGGAAGTGACATGAGGCTTCTCCATAGCAGGATCTCACTTCCTGCTGTGCCACGGCCTGAGGACCTTGATTCCCTGGAGACGCTTCGTAAGGATGATGAGCAGCTGTGGGGGAGGTGATTTCCAGCGGGCAATTCTCACTGCCGACACAGTACAACAGCACAGCGTTCTGCATGTGCAACAAGTTCATTTCTGCAGTGCCAAAATCCAGCAGAGCATCTGGGATGGGCCCAACCTTCATTGTCACCCCAGTGAACACAAGGAGTCACAGCAGCGCTGGCTCATGTTTGGTGCCTGCCCAACCACAGCTGCCAGGCAGTTTCGGAGCCCAGGTGGGATGGCCAGCATAGACTGAGAAGGCAAGGACAACACAGGGCAAAATCATCTTTGAAGCCACCGTGGTCATCAGTGCCTGCTGCTCCAGGAAGACAACCGAGACGAGCAACACGAAGGGATTATTTTGTGTGTTTGTAAAAAAGGCTTGTTAATAACAGTGCCTGCTCCCACCCAATCACAAATTAACAACTAGTAGAATTTACAAATGCACTAGTTCTTCTCAAGTTCAAGAAGAGTCTGCACAATCCAGACACTGGAATAGCCCAGTTTATTGAAAAAAATCCAAAGAAGGATGGGGATTGCTGAAGGCACTAACTAGAGGGCATTAATATCTATATTAAGGCACTAACCACACTTTCCCTATACCTATGGTAAATTCAATCACTACTTGGTCTTAATGTCTATATAGTAAATGCAATGCTTATGGGGGATTAATAAATATAGTAAGAGCATGAATGACAGACTACTAATATATACTGCACTAACTAAATGCACTAACTACGGGAGGTTTATATATACAGGGTCTGTCAATAGGCCCCACAGGCACAGCTCTGTGCACCAAGTTCTCTTTCACTGGCTGTGGATCTGCAGATGTTCAAACCGATGCAGCGGGCAATTGTAGTCCTGCATGGCCTTCTTTTGTGTATCTGGACTTCTGGCCAGGTGCTCAAGGACGTTGGGTGCTACAGTCACCTGGAAGCCGGAGGGCAAGCTGATCTCCGTAGGAAAGCTCGCATTGCCGATGACAAAGTGGTGAAGCTGTTTTATCTCCAGTGAGCAGCGGAGGGACTTCAGGATAGCCATCACTCGCTGCCCAAAATCACTCCTGCCCCACCCTGTCAGGGGTACAGTGCTCAGGAGGTGTGTCACCACTGTCATCAGGACACAGCTGGAGAAACCCACACCCATCAGGAAGCCCGTGAGGAGCTGCAGCCTGGGAGACCTGTCTGGAAATGTGCCTGAAGAATTTTGCCTCTGCCACGGCATAAGTCTCCAGCCACGTTGTGCTTGGGATGCCTACTTCTGTAGGCTGGCTGCTCACAAAGACATCTGAGTCTCCTTGCCGCACGGCAAAGAACATCTCAACCGTGAAGCTTTCCTTGTCTTTGCTCAGCTGAAATTTGCAGGAGCGGCTGGAGGGCTGCAACCTTAAACGCCAGTGGCACGATTCAGGCAACAGCAGCCAGGCGACTCTCACAAATCCATAGAACCAGTGGACAGTTTTCTCCACATCTAGATAGCAGCCGGTGCACAGGGTGTGCAGGAGGCTGGGGTCCTGTTTCCTTCTCAGCTCCTCCTCGGGGTGGTGGAGGAAACACAGCATGTCCTCCTCCAGCCTCTCCCTCCTGCAGGTGCACACCCGCTCCACACGGACACAGAAGTTCCTCTGGACCCCTCCTGCAGTGTCCAGCTCCAGGTGGAAAGCATGTCCTGGAGGGGGACTCAGGGGAACAAGCAAACGGTGCACAACATCTTGTGCATGGGGACCGCAGCCTTCAAAGGCGCTGCCAATGCCCATGGCTGGTTGTGGCACCGGGTAGAAACTGTTGGACAAGCCTTCTCCAAAGACGTGGATGAGTTTGTCCACCAGGTCCGCGATCATGGAGAATCCTTTGTCTAGATCCAGAACAGGAAACTCCTCTATGCGCTCCTCTAAAAGGCTTCCAAGCTTCCTTTGCACATTGTTACCATCGTCTTGTTCTCCATTTGCCATCTCCTGCTTGTCATCGACATTGCCCTCTTCCACATTTCCAACAACGTTCCGTCTTTCTTCCTCCTCCACCAAGTTGCTGCTGGACCTCTCCTTGTGGCCACCTTTGTCTCGATCACATCGACTTTTCCCATGCCCAAACCACAGCACCAAGAGAAGCATGAGGATTCCGCTCAGAGCCACGAACTGCCACCCCGGCAGGGCTCCCCAGGCCCCACCACTCTGCTCCAGCTTCATCTGCTCCAGCTCCTGAATCAGCTGAGTCATCTGCTGCTCCAGATACTCAGCACGCTGCTGCATGCGCTCCAGGGTGGCCTCATCCAGCCCATCCCCGGCCTGCTGCGGGTACTGGGTGAGGCCTTGCACAAGCAAGAGAAGGAATGTAATGGCAAACATGGCCAAAAGCAGTGAGCAGGGCTTCAGTGGGGAAGGGAGGGAGCTACTGCTAGGGCAAGAGGGGACAGGAGCCCCAGGGATCTCAAGGCAGGACAGAGGGGGCCCGGAGGCTGGCAGCCTGCCAGGCCTGTGCCGCTGCCCCAGCACCGGCACAAAGGGTCTGGACAAAGGCCCTGCCACCAGAGACGGGCCTCTGGATGCACACTGAGAAGCCGCTCCCCGAATACTCGCGTTTCTGCCGTGGGCCTCTCTCCGCGTTCAGCACAGCCTCCTGTCTGCGTGGACACTCGCCGCTCGCCGAGGCTGCACTGGGGCAGCGTTACCTGCTGCTCCTCCTGGCAGCTGCCCCCATTGTCACACTGCGGCTGTGATGTCACACATGCCAGTGTGCATCCGGGCCAGGCCTACCCCGCCTTCCATCTCTACCGCACCTCTGGGAATCCTAATGGCCCCTGGCAAGCAAAGACCTGACATGCAAAAACAGCAGACCCGTGGGTCGCAAAGGCCACCCTTGCTCTTCCCTTCACAAAACATGTAGGAGGCCTCAGAGCCTTCCTAATCGCAAAATGGGTGACGTGGCCCTTGAATGCATTGTTCCTGGAAGTTTTCTCCTCAGAGATAGAACTGCTTGCCTTGCTGCTGACATGTGTGCTTTTGGGGTCACTCTTGGAACCTGTGTGACACCCTGGGATGTGTAGTGGTGAATGGCCTGGAAGTGACATGAGGCTTCTCCATAGCAGGATCTCACTTCCTGCTGTGCCACGGCCTGAGGACCTTGATTCCCTGGAGACGCTTCGTAAGGATGATGAGCAGCTGTGGGGGAGGTGATTTCCAGCAGGCAATTCTCACTGCCGACACAGTACAACAGCACAGCGTTCTGCATGTGCAACAAGTTCATTTCTGCAGTGCCAAAATCCAGCAGAGCATCTGGGATGGGCCCAACCTTCATTGTCACCCCAGTGAACACAAGGAGTCACAGCAGCGCTGGCTCATGTTTGGTGCCTGCCCAACCACAGCTGCCAGGCAGTTTCGGAGCCCAGGTGGGATGGCCAGCATAGACTGAGAAGGCAAGGACAACACAGGGCAAAATCATCTTTGAAGCCACCGTGGTCATCAGTGCCTGCTGCTCCAGGAAGACAACCGAGACGAGCAACACGAAGGGATTATTTTGTGTGTTTGTAAAAAAGGCTTGTTAATAACAGTGCCTGCTCCCACCCAATCACAAATTAACAACTAGTAGAATTTACAAATGCACTAGTTCTTCTCAAGTTCAAGAAGAGTCTGCACAATCCAGACACTGGAATAGCCCAGTTTATTGAAAAAAATCCAAAGAAGGATGGGGATTGCTGAAGGCACTAACTAGAGGGCATTAATATCTATATTAAGGCACTAACCACACTTTCCCTATACCTATGGTAAATTCAATCACTACTTGGTCTTAATGTCTATATAGTAAATGCAATGCTTATGGGGGATTAATAAATATAGTAAGAGCATGAATGACAGACTACTAATATATACTGCACTAACTAAATGCACTAACTACGGGAGGTTTATATATACAGGGTCTGTCAATAGGCCCCACAGGCACAGCTCTGTGCACCAAGTTCTCTTTCACTGGCTGTGGATCTGCAGATGTTCAAACCGATGCAGCGGGCAATTGTAGTCCTGCATGGCCTTCTTTTGTGTATCTGGACTTCTGGCCAGGTGCTCAAGGGCGTTGGGTGCTACAGCCACCTGGAAGCCGGAGGGCAAGCTGATCTCCGTAGGAAAGCTCGCATTGCCGATGACAAAGTGGTGAAGCTGTTTTATCTCCAGTGAGCAGCGGAGGGACTTCAGGATAGCCATCACTCGCTGCCCAAAATCACTCCTGCCCCACCCTGTCAGGGGTACAGTGCTCAGGAGGTGTGTCACCACTGTCATCAGGACACAGCTGGAGAAACCCACACCCATCAGGAAGCCCGTGAGGAGCTGCAGCCTGGGAGACCTGTCTGGAAATGTGCCTGAAGAATTTTGCCTCTGCCACGGCATAAGTCTCCAGCCACATTGTGCTTGGGATGCCTACTTCTGTAGGCTGGCTGCTCACAAAGACATCTGAGTCTCCTTGCCGCACGGCAAAGAACATCTCAACCGTGAAGCTTTCCTTGTCTTTGCTCAGCTGAAATTTGCAGGAGCGGCTGGAGGGCTGCAACCTTAAACGCCAGTGGCACGATTCAGGCAACAGCAGCCAGGCGACTCTCACAAATCCATAGAACCAGTGGACAGTTTTCTCCACATCTAGACAGCAGCCGGTGCACAGGGTGTGCAGGAGGCTGGGGTCCTGTTTCCTTCTCAGCTCCTCCTCGGGGTGGTGGAGGAAACACAGCATGTCCTCCTCCAGCCTCTCCCTCCTGCAGGTGCACACCCGCTCCACACGGACACAGAAGTTCCTCTGGACCCCTCCTGCAGTGTCCAGCTCCAGGTGGAAAGCATGTCCTGGAGGGGGACTCAGGGGAACAAGCAAACGGTGCACAACATCTTGTGCATGGGGACCGCAGCCTTCAAAGGCGCTGCCAATGCCCATGGCTGGTTGTGGCACCGGGTAGAAACTGTTGGACAAGCCTTCTCCAAAGACATGGATGAGTTTGTCCACCAGGTCCGCGATCATGGAGAATCCTTTGTCTAGATCCAGAACAGGAAACTCCTCTATGCGCTCCTCTAAAAGGCTTCCAAGCTTCCTTTGCACATTGTTACCATCGTCTTGTTCTCCATTTGCCATCTCCTGCTTGTCATCGACATTGCCCTCTTCCACATTTCCAACAACGTTCCGTCTTTCTTCCTCCTCCACCAAGTTGCTGCTGGACCTCTCCTTGTGGCCACCTTTGTCTCGATCACATCGACTTTTCCCATGCCCAAACCACAGCACCAAGAGAAGCATGAGGATTCCGCTCAGAGCCACGAACTGCCACCCCGGCAGGGCTCCCCAGGCCCCACCACTCTGCTCCAGCTTCATCTGCTCCAGCTCCTGAATCAGCTGAGTCATCTGCTGCTCCAGATACTCAGCACGCTGCTGCATGCGCTCCAGGGTGGCCTCACCCAGCCCATCCCCGGCCTGCTGCGGGTACTGGGTGAGGCCTTGCACAAGCAAGAGAAGGAATGTAATGGCAAACATGGCCAAAAGCAGTGAGCAGGGCTTCAGTGGGGAAGGGAGGGAGCTACTGCTAGGGCAAGAGGGGACAGGAGCCCCAGGGATCTCAAGGCAGGACAGAGGGGGTCCAGAGGCTGGCAGCCTGCCAGGCCTGTGCCGCTGCCCCAGCACCGGCACAAAGGGTCTGGACAAAGGCCCTGCCACCAGAGACGGGCCTCTGGATGCACACTGAGAAGCCGCTCCCCGAATACTCGCGTTTCTGCCGTGGGCCTCTCTCCGCGTTCAGCACAGCCTCCTGTCTGCGTGGACACTCGCCGCTCACCGAGGCTGCACTGGGGCAGCGTTACCTGCTGCTCCTCCTGGCAGCTGCCCCCATTGTCACACTGCGGCTGTGATGTCACACATGCCAGTGTGCATCCGGGCCAGGCCTACCCCGCCTTCCATCTCTACCGCACCTCTGGGAATCCTAATGGCCCCTGGCAAGCAAAGACCTGACATGCAAAAACAGCAGACCCATGGGTCGCAAAGGCCACCCTTGCTCTTCCCTTCACAAAACATGTAGGAGGCCTCAGAGCCTTCCTAATCGCAAAATGGGTGACGTGGCCCTTGAATGCATTGTTCCTGGAAGTTTTCTCCTCAGAGATAGAACTGCTTGCCTTGCTGCTGACATGTGTGCTTTTGGGGTCACTCTTGGAACCTGTGTGACACCCCGGGATGTGTAGTGGTGAATGGCCTGGAAGTGACATGAGGCTTCTCCATAGCAGGATCTCACTTCCTGCTGTGCCACGGCCTGAGGACCTTGATTCCCTGGAGACGCTTCGTAAGGATGATGAGCAGCTGTGGGGGAGGTGATTTCCAGCAGGCAATTCTCACTGCCGACACAGTACAACAGCACAGCGTTCTGCATGTGCAACAAGTTCATTTCTGCAGTGCCAAAATCCAGCAGAGCATCTGGGATGGGCCCAACCTTCATTGTCACCCCAGTGAACACAAGGAGTCACAGCAGCGCTGGCTCATGTTTGGTGCCTGCCCAACCACAGCTGCCAGGCAGTTTCGGAGCCCAGGTGGGATGGCCAGCATAGACTGAGAAGGCAAGGACAACACAGGGCAAAATCATCTTTGAAGCCACCGTGGTCATCAGTGCCTGCTGCTCCAGGAAGACAACCGAGACGAGCAACACGAAGGGATTATTTTGTGTGTTTGTAAAAAAGGCTTGTTAATAACAGTGCCTGCTCCCACCCAATCACAAATTAACAACTAGTAGAATTTACAAATGCACTAGTTCTTCTCAAGTTCAAGAAGAGTCTGCACAATCCAGACACTGGAATAGCCCAGTTTATTGAAAAAAATCCAAAGAAGAATGGGGATTGCTGAAGGCACTAACTAGAGGGCATTAATATCTATATTAAGGCACTAACCACACTTTCCCTATACCTATGGTAAATTCAATCACTACTTGGTCTTAATGTCTATATAGTAAATGCAATGCTTATGGGGGATTAATAAATATAGTAAGAGCATGAATGACAGACTACTAATATATACTGCACTAACTAAATGCACTAACTACGGGAGGTTTATATATACAGGGTCTGTCAATAGGCCCCACAGGCACAGCTCTGTGCACCAAGTTCTCTTTCACTGGCTGTGGATCTGCAGATGTTCAAACCGATGCAGCGGGCAATTGTAGTCCTGCATGGCCTTCTTTTGTGTATCTGGACTTCTGGCCAGGTGCTCAAGGACGTTGGGTGCTACAGCCACCTGGAAGCCGGAGGGCAAGCTGATCTCCGTAGGAAAGCTCGCATTGCCGATGACAAAGTGGTGAAGCTGTTTTATCTCCAGTGAGCAGCGGAGGGACTTCAGGATAGCCATCACTCGCTGCCCAAAATCACTCCTGCCCCACCCTGTCAGGGGTACAGTGCTCAGGAGGTGTGTCACCACTGTCATCAGGACACAGCTGGAGAAACCCACACCCATCAGGAAGCCCGTGAGGAGCTGCAGCCTGGGAGACCTGTCTGGAAATGTGCCTGAAGAATTTTGCCTCTGCCACGGCATAAGTCTCCAGCCACGTTGTGCTTGGGATGCCTACTTCTGTAGGCTGGCTGCTCACAAAGACATCTGAGTCTCCTTGCCGCACGGCAAAGAACATCTCAACCGTGAAGCTTTCCTTGTCTTTGCTCAGCTGAAATTTGCAGGAGCGGCTGGAGGGCTGCAACCTTAAACGCCAGTGGCACGATTCAGGCAACAGCAGCCAGGCGACTCTCACAAATCCATAGAACCAGTGGACAGTTTTCTCCACATCTAGACAGCAGCCGGTGCACAGGGTGTGCAGGAGGCTGGGGTCCTGTTTCCTTCTCAGCTCCTCCTCGGGGTGGTGGAGGAAACACAGCATGTCCTCCTCCAGCCTCTCCCTCCTGCAGGTGCACACCCGCTCCACACGGACACAGAAGTTCCTCTGGACCCCTCCTGCAGTGTCCAGCTCCAGGTGGAAAGCATGTCCTGGAGGGGGACTCAGGGGAACAAGCAAACGGTGCACAACATCTTGTGCATGGGGACCGCAGCCTTCAAAGGCGCTGCCAATGCCCATGGCTGGTTGTGGCACCGGGTAGAAACTGTTGGACAAGCCTTCTCCAAAGACGTGGATGAGTTTGTCCACCAGGTCCGCGATCATGGAGAATCCTTTGTCCAGATCCAGAACAGGAAACTCCTCTATGCGCTCCTCTAAAAGGCTTCCAAGCTTCCTTTGCACATTGTTACTGTCTTCTTCTCCATTTGCCATCTCCTGCTTGTCATCGACATTGCCCTCTTCCACATTTCCAACAACGTTCCGTCTTTCTTCCTCCTCCACCAAGTTGCTGCTGGACCTCTCCTTGTGGCCACCTTTGTCTCGATCACATCGACTTTTCCCATGCCCAAACAACAGCACCAAGAGAAGCATGAGGATTCCACTCAGAGCCACGAACTGCCACCCAGGCAGGGCTCCCCAGGCCCCACCACTCTGCTCCAGCTTCATCTGCTCCAGCTCCTGAATCAGCTGAGTCATCTGCTGCTCCAGATACTCAGCACGCTGCTGCATGCGCTCCAGGGTGGCCTCATCCAGCCCATCCCCGGCCTGCTGCGGGTACTGGGTGAGGCCTTGCACAAGCAAGAGAAGGAATGTAATGGCAAACATGGCCAAAAGCAGTGAGCAGGGCTTCAGTGGGGAAGGGAGGGAGCTACTGCTAGGGCAAGAGGGGACAGGAGCCCCAGGGATCTCAAGGCAGGACAGAGGGGGCCCGGAGGCTGGCAGCCTGCCAGGCCTGTGCCGCTGCCCCAGCACCGGCACAAAGGGTCTGGACAAAGGCCCTGCCACCAGGGACTGGCCTCTGGATGCCCGCTGAGAAGCCGCTCCCCGAATACTCGCGTTTCTGCCGTGGGCCTCTCTCCGCGTTCAGCACAGCCTCCTGTCTGCGTGCACGCTCACCGCTCGCCGAGGCTGCACTGGGGCAGCGTTACCTGCTGCTCCTCCTTGCAGCTGTCCCCATCATCACACTGCGGCTGTGATGTCACACATGCCAGTGTGCATCTGGGCCAGTACTAAATTGTGGTGGATGTAGTGATCTTAAAATCTTTTCCCATCTAAATGATGTTGTGGTTTTCTTCCGTAAGATCTCCCTTACTACTGGCCACTGATCAACCATTCCTGGCTACCCAGATCTGCTTTGAGCCAAAACCTCTATAGTACAAACTTCTCAAATCTGAACAAAAATGTTTTGCTATTGTGTGTACATGGTACTACCTTTGTTGTATATGCTTGTACATGTATAGAAGCACATATGTTTATGCATGTACAAGGCACTGTCATATGGCCTCTTCTGAGGAAAAACCTGAGAAAACATAAGGGCTGCAGGAGTCAAAAGGGCTCTTCTTTGGTACTTTCTGCCTTTTCTGATAGTTTTAACCAGCCTTTGATCTTATTCAAAATTGAATGTCTAAGTCTGAATCTCACATGTATTTTCACATCATGTACTCTGGTTAAGCAAGCAACGCATCACTTTGATTCCATCATGTGTATGACCATGCATTTTTTTATGTCCCCACGTTTTATACAAATTGTGGTACTGAAACCAATACTAGACAGGTATTCTCTTTTCAGATTTGATCATCATATTTGTTGGGTCTATTCAGGGAATCTGTTTTATCCACCACGTTAGGTGTTGTTATTGTAACAGTTCCAACCGTGTTCGCCACAGCTATTTCCACTGTGCAGAAGAAATCAATAGCATTTTTTGCCATGCATCAGGGATTTCTCATCAATACTTATGTACAACAATTAAATGAGCACAGGTTCCACTCATCTGAATAAGCCTGGTAGCTTTATTCCATTTTGGAACCTCTGGAAGTAGCAAACTGTGACATTAGGACCTGATTTAGTGTTTAAAGGTTTCCACCCCCCTTTCTAGAGCATCCCTCCCCTCAGTTCAGCTCTGAGGCTAGGGCTGTTCCTTCTGACCCTTCCACTTCCCCGTCCCGCTCTTGAATTTAATACTCTGTTTAAATGACCTTCCCAACTAAGCAAGCAGTTAAGACATCAAACTTGCTTTACACAGACTTTAGAAAATTGCACAACTTTATGTCTTGCTCAGGTGATTCATCTATTTGTCTTGTCTAAGGGAATGTGAAATACAGCACCATCAATTATTTGCTGTGTATTGACTGTTAGGTTGTTAGGACTATATCTAAAATATATTATTTGTAGTTTTTAGACTAACAATTTTCTATCAATTAACCCCTATGCCAACATTTCACAA